ACAATTTATAAGTTAAAAAAAATAAATAAAACTAATGGCCTTTAGAAATAGAGGTTTCTTTAGATTACCAATTGCGATTCGATAAAGTATTCTATAGACTTTTTGTAGTTGGAATTTTAAGACAATTTGTTTCTAAATTCTACAGAAAACTGTGTTGATTTAAATATAGAAAATTTATACACGTTTTGTATATTTGTTATTAGGAGAAAAAATAGGAAATATTACATAATTAAACTTTTAAAAAAAATGACTTTAAATATTAAATTGTTTAAAGAATTATTTAGAAACTCATTATGTAAATTGTTATAACAAAAATTTGTTTAGATACTAATAAACATTTAATCGAAGAACTCTTTTGATGCTTTCTGATAAGAATTTTATCACAATAAGTTTTGACGTGCTTCCATACCATAGACAATATTAGAAACTTTGGAAACATATTGTACATGAAGACTTTCTGAATAAGTAGAAAAATCTTTGATGTATTTTGTTATCTGACTTTATGAAAATTATTTGAGCTCATACCATATTAGAGCATCAAAGGTAATTTCTAGAACTTTAATAATTCTGTTTATAATCCGACCACTTGTTTAATATTTGAATCTGAAATAACCTCTGAATAAATTTTAAATCGAGTAACTTATTTTGCCTTTTCATTTTTAGTTTTTCTAAAACTAAAGTCAATCAGATTTTTGGATCAATAAATAGTCCTGATAAATCTAGCATAAGTGCATTTTTACATCCAAAAGAAATTCCTATATCGTTTATAATTAGCTCAAAAATAAACTTAGGAAATTTTTCAACATTTTATATTCCTGATGGTTTTCTTCCTGCTTCAATGTCTAAAAGAAAATTTATAAAGTTGATCTAAAAAGTTAAATTTGTCCATTACTTTTATTTATGAAAACTTATATGTTCTTATATCAATCAATCAATCAATATATTTTTCACAAAAATAGATACCGTTTACAATATAATATAAATATTACAACTATATTATTGTGAAGGGACAGTGCAAATAGTACACGACTAATTCAAAGCAGAGACTTTATAAAACAAAACAAAACAAAACAAAAAACGAAAAAACATTGTAAATATTAAATAAAACAAAAAACAAAAAAATAATAATAAAAAATATTAAAAAAAAAAAATAATAATAATAATAGCAGTAATAGTAATACAGCAGACACAATAGCCAAGGAACAAAAATTAAAGTTATTTATATATAATAAAAGTACTAAAACTAATAAAAACAAGTACGTAATAATACTGACAATAGATAATAATAAAAATAATAGTAACTGATTAAAATAATAACTGAATAAAATAAAGGTTAATAATATGAATAATGGTAGAAGGAAAGAAGTGTTATTGAGTAAAGAGAAAAATTATTGGATTAGAGTTTAAGATAATAAAATAAATGAACTAATACTAACTATTTAATATAAATACCAATAAATATAATAATAAATATTGATTTTAAGTTTGTCCCCAGATCTGGCAAGCATATTGTATGTGAGATCCAAATATGGCGTGATAAATACTGGTTATAGTTTCTAAAGTGACAAAGTGCCTTACTTTGGCCAACATACCAATAGATCGACTCAATTTTGACTGTAAATAAGAGTGGTGGTATTTTAAAGAAAGATTTTCATCCAGCATTACTCCAAGATACCTTTTTGATTTTGAAGAAGTTAATATCTCTCCATTAATATAAAAATTTAATTGCTTATTATTTTTCGGTTTTTGGTTTTAAAGACTACTATTTGGGTTTTTTTAGCATTGGGTGAGATTTTATTAGCTCCCAGCCAGTCGATAACTGATGATATGACCTCATTGGTTTTATTTAGAACTTTAGCAGAGTCTTCAATTATAAGCAAATTAGTGTCATCAGCAAAATGGTAAGTAGATACATTATTGAGGCATATGTTTAGTTCATTGATATATACTAAGAATAGAAGTGGCCCAAAGATAGATCCTTGGGGTATTCCTGAGTTGATAGGTTGGGTTGATGAGGTAATTTCATTTTTAGTTACAAATTGAAGTCTATGGCTTAAATAAGATTCAAATCATTTCAGATGAACTCCACGAACTCCATAATAAGCTAACTTGGCGAGAAGAATATGATGGTTTACTGTGTCGAAAGCTTTCTGCAAGTCAATAAACACACCACAAGCAAATTTATTTTCATCTAGTGATTTTTGGATAATCTCTGTAAAGTCAATAAGTGCATAGGTAGTTGAATGCTTGTGTCTAAATGCATATTGTAATCTATATATACAATTAAAAGTCTCCAAATACTCATACAGTCTTACATGCATCATTTTCTCAAATATTTTTCCTAAATTAGACAATAATGAAATAGGCCTGTAGTTAATAAGTTCAAGTTTGGAGCCATTCTTGTGAAATGGAATAACCTTTGCAATTTTGAAAATGTCTGGGAATACTCCTTTTATAAATGAGTTATTTATTATTTTACAAATGGGTTCAGCTATAGTTTTATTGGATAACTTTAAAATTGAAGTAGGTATATGATGATATACTCATATAGGATTTATTCACTTTCCTCCCACCCAACCTTCCATCCTGACCTTCGTCATAACTAACGTCATAATCCGATAACGTCATAACGTTATAATCCGATAATGTTGAAAAAAAAAAATTAAATTTTTTTTGTTTAAAGTTAATCTAGCGTTATAAAAAAAATATATAAAAAAGCAAATGTTTTTTAATTTTATACAGATGGAATCAAAGAACAAACCATTACAACAGTTCGATAAACCAAAACTTGTTGCAGTTGTAAAACCGTACAATTCAGAAAAACCAAAACCAAATCCGTATATGTACGATTCACATGGTAATCAAATACATAGTTGGGAAGTTCGTTAAAGCTGTTATATTTGTTTTTACAATAATAGAAGTTCTTTTTGCATTTTAAATGGAAGTATTTAATTTTATTAAAAAAAGTGGTATACAAATATGCAAGTTTGTTCAATGTGTTGGAAACTTTGTTAAACTTAATGCGATAAAATTATATAATTATACAAAATTGGAAAAGATAGCAAAATTGTTGTTACTCGTTTCTGGAAAGATTGCAAATTTTTTGTTAATGGTTTTGGTGTTTACGTTGCTGACATTATTAATGATATTATTCTTTCTTTTTGGAACACTACAATATATTGTTTGTGTGCTATTAGTCAAAATAAATAAATATGAACCTTTATGAATTGGAGAAGATTTGTAGAGAAGTATTAAATAATACTGACAAAAGAAAATATAAATCAATCGAGGAAATGATGGACAAGTTAGATTGTATTGTAGAAATTATAAACTTTACAAATTTAAAAGTACTTTATGAATTTTGTTTTATATTAACGTGTATACGAAAAAAATATTTTTATACTATTGTTATTGATACTCCGGGTTATAAAGAGAAACAGTCGAGTTTGGAATCGTTTATCATATGGAAATTTGATATACATAACAAACGTTTAGTTGTATTATTAAAACGCTTGGAAAATTTTATTAATTATTATAAGGGTTACGATAAATTTAACTTAAAACACGAGCATGTATACGGTTGTAATACAATATTTAATAAATTAAAATGATACAAAGAAATGTTTTTATTTTCCAGCTTG